ACAAGCAAGAAGCCACAGAGAGGGGAACCCTTTTGAGGTCAAACCTTGTCAGGACCAGCAGATTTGGGAATGTGTGTCCAGAAACTACTTGTTTGTGTTTGTTTCTACTGTGTTCAAGGAAAGGGAAAAAGGCTCTGTTTATCCTTCTGTAAATAAGCAAGATCACAGGGAGAAATACCCTACATTTATATTATCAGTGTATCTTCCAAATAGAAAGGCTGTAACAGGTGACAGTATACTTACAGCCTGCTCTTTGAACGTTTAAATACTCTCTCTCACATGGAAGAACAACTAGGGTAAGAACATCTTCACGTTTTGTGAATTGCAGTTTGGTTTCTTTGCTTCAAGCTGTAAAAATCTCACTGCAAACATTTACTATTTAGTCTGACCCACAGGAGCTGTAACTGGTACATGGTGCTTCCAGTGCAGTTTGTTTACAAGATGAAGGCCTTAGTCCCAGCCAGAGCAGGAACATGTATCACCAACATTTGGAAGCCTCGCTTAAGGAAATCCAGACCGACAACCTCTCTTCCTACTGCAAATCACTGCTTGGTCTGATTTCCAGTTTGACTGCTGCTCTTTCCCCAAGCACACCTGCAGGTAAAAAGGCATCACAAGCAACACACCCATCCCCATGTGAGGGGCAAGTGAGGTGATGGTGCCAGGATCAGATATTGGTCCTCCTTGGCTGGAAAGATGGTTGGTTGCTGGGTGCAGCTTTGGCTTTGAGACGGCAAGGGAGACAAGCCACAGAACAAACAGGAGCAATAAGAAGCATCTTCAGAGCTCTGTCAAGGATTCATGAAGTGTTTTGCCTATCTGAGAGGGGAAAGAAGAAGGACTAAAAAATATTTCCCCTCCAGGCAGAGAGGGAACACTGGCAGGATCAGGAAACACAATGGCATCTTTCACCACTGCAGCACCCAGTGAGTCCCCACTTGTCTAATAGTAACAAAGAGCCACATTCCTGAATGCGTATAGGTGTGCTAGTCCCCTGGTCTCACTGGAGGAGTGAGTAGTGTTAACACTACTAAAATGCCTGTATGACTCCAAGCAAAAATGGACAAAACCTGTTATTTGCTGATGAAACACTGCTTTTGGCCTGTCTCTCTTGCACAGAAAAATGGGCAGGCTCAGACTGCCTCAATCTTCCATCTATATCAGGCACTGGCCCCTAACAGGACAAGAAGAACAGGACTGAACCGAAGGGACCAGAGACAAGGAACCTGCAAGACCTCCAGGTTCTGCCATGCCGGCTCACAGAGAACTTGCTGAGCCCTGTAGCCCTGCTACTACGTGGGTGCTGCCTTCATGGGCTACTGCTCCAAAGCCACCTGCAACACGAGTAGAATGGGCTTGAGCTTACTTTGCTTCTTTCTATACCTCAAGACACCCAACTACACATTATGGTCACCCCACATCTAGATGCCTCCCCTTGCTGCACTGCCATCTCTCTCCTAGCCGCAAAGCCTGAAACCCCCAAGGGCAGAGTTTCCTTAATTAATCACCAGGCAATTTTATTTTCTCTGTCTCTTTTTCCATTTCTGAGTTGCGACGTTTCTTGCCAACTTTCTGCTTGGCATGAATTTCTACAAGAGAGCAATGTAACTTCTGAAAATAGACACTTACACTGGAAAGCCTGACACACCCTATATGGAGCCTATGAGTGGCAGAACCGTAATCAAAAGCCAGTCAGGACACTAGGCCATGCTAGCAGCATTCAATTAAGGCTCTGAGCAAAGCAGCCCTAAGAGAAGAAAGTAAATGGGAACTCTATAAACTCTGTTGTACAGAAGCCCCCAGGCTCTTTTCACCTCTAAGAGGCATTTGAGTTTGTATTCTTTATGGTAACCCTAGCTCGGGCAAGTTATTCCAACATAGCTGGCATGTTCAGAACCCCTTTAAAAATAAAAATTCATGGAAATGGCCAACCTGCTGTGATTTCCTGATATGAAACTGCATGCAAAGCCTATGGGAAAAAAAGCCAGTACTCGTATGATACAAGTCTGAGCTCTGCCTGTCATTAACAAGGGTGGGTTTTTCAGGGTAAAATTCTCCTGGGCCAAATAACAGGAGACTGATAAATAAAGCTTGTCAACTGCCCTTTCTGACTCACTCTCTCCTGCTGGAAGGATGACTCACTGTCATGTGTGAAAGGCTGCCAGGTCTTGCTTACATGCTTAAACAAGCATGGGTTGTCTGTGTTAGACATACATTACCTCAGAAGAAGCAGGCACTTAGTGCTGAGAAGGCAGCTCTGGAAAGGACTCTGCTGACTAAAGGATCTGAACTTCAAGGTATTTCTCAATCCTTTCTGGAAAGTTCAAGCTTGTTGTTAGATTACCACAGAAAAATTAGACCCAAAGCCATGGCTGAGGGCTTGGCTGATGATCACAGTGTTTTAACCCAGGGCTCACTAGGACCATCAGATTTTACCCAGGTAACTCCTGCAGAGTGAGCCAGACAGCATGTTCCAGGTGCAGACAGAAGTAACTGAGACCATGCCTGGTCGAGAGCTGCCTTTTGTCCAAGGAAAACGGTGTGCCAAAAGCAGTCACTTTTTGCTCACTATTTCTTTCATGGTGAGAAAGTAGCCCCATGGGGCTGCTCCCCTTAAAGAGACTTTGAGGAACCTGCCTTGAATCTGGAGAGGGACAAACACAGCATGTTGAACATCGTCTCTCAGTCCAAGTAGCTCATTGACTGCTTTTGAGCAACACCGATAGCTGCTCAGTGCTTCCTCCTCTCTGCAGTGACATAGACCTTGTAGGTAAGTGACAGTGCACAAAAATCTTATTTTCACCCAGGAGCTTTGCTGCTGATGTGAGTGTGGCCTCCACCCTTTGGTCTTCTCCTGTCATCTCAGGCCCACCACAAGCCACGTGTGCAACTCTGTGAAATCTCTGCCCCAGGCACTGCAGGGACTGTTCACAAATCCCAGTTATTAGCACATATCACAGTCTACATTGCCCTGCAGGGCTGATGTGGCAAAGGACACCTTTCCCTCATACTCTTTCTAAGGCCCCATACAATGCCTGTTTGCTTCCCATGACAAAGCAAGACACTTTTGCAAGGACTAGTGTACTGGGATGTCAATCCACAGATCAGAGATGGCCCAGTGTCACAGCTAAAGGGACAAAGCTGTACCCATCCTTTAGTATACAGAGGTCTCCTAATGCAGGAACTGAAAGGTTTCTCCCAAGACCAAGAGAAGAAAGCTGTGCTGTAGCCTCCCTCAGCTCCAGGTATTAGCCAACATCTTGCTGCATCATTCTACAGGGAAACCATGCTGCTGCTGGGCAATGATACCACAACTGCCTCTTGCGTGTTCGGCCAAGTATGCGCCATCCAGGAGTCACCCATGCAGCTGGGGAAGACAGCTGCACATGCTTTGACCCAGCCAGGCTCTCAGAAAACCTGCAAGTAAAGCACCGTCTCAAGGTTCTCATCAACATTTTTCAGACCATATGAGCACTAACCTGCCTGCCCAAAATGAATGTATAACCTAGAAATGTTACTTTTGAATAAAGAGTGTACCATTCCACATCATGTATATGAGGAAGATATAGCAGTCTCACACACAGTTCTAAATATATCTTTACATTTCTTCTCCTTTGGGAGAGAATATGTGTTTTCCATCCCACAAAATTTCTAAGAGGTTATTTTTAAATACTTTTGCTCTGTATCAGAACAGATGTCTAATGAAAAGCTTGAGAGAGAAACTGCAGGCCAAAACAGCCTCATCCAATGGTAAAAGGACTCACCTGACAGATGGAAAACAAGCCTAGGCCACAATGCTACTTAGGCGTGAATATAACATGTGCCAGTCTAAGTGAAGAGACTAAATAATAGCTGTGAATCTGCAGTTCAAGTGCCTGTCTCAGTAAGGCAGGGCAGAGCCATCCCACATAAATGACCTAGTCCCTGGACTGTTGGTTACTCCAGAAGAAGTAAGTTTGTCATCATAATTATGCTGCAAAATTTCATCCTTTTCAAAACTGAACCATACATTGCAAGGGAAAATTGTATTATTTTATATCCAGGAAAGATATATTTTGCTGAAAAACTTCCAAACCAGTACTAACGTATCAAATTTATCCTCTTAACAATGATGAAAATATCACCTCTGTGGGTTTTTTCCACTCTTTAATCATCCGTTATCTTTTCATTGATTCTTATTGACCATGACAAAGTCAGGATTTAATCCTGAGTTTTCCTTCTGATGCTAATGATTAGCTCGTACAGATAGTCTTATAGGTAAAATGATATCGTTTCTTACCATGGATTTATTTTGTTTCAAGATACTGACATCCCAACTGCATATTTTCAGTTTGAACATCTAAGATCTGCTTTCCCAATCATGTAAAATCAATTATGAAAATAAATATATATATCATTAAAAAGATGAAATGAAGACTTGGTAGATATTTTAAATAACAGCATTTCTCTTTGCTATACTTATTTCACAATGAGTCATAAATTAGGCTAGCTGTATCTGAGAACAAAAAGAGAGGATGGAAATAAAAAAAGAAGTAAACACAATATATTAAAGATTCCAGAATAACTCCCTTCAAAAGCAAAATTTCAGCAACTTTTAGACTGTAGTAAGTAATTTCTTCTGGTTGCTTTAGAAAAAGAGGATTGACATTAAAATCAACAATCATATTAATCTGCAGGTGTCAAAGCACTTCCCAAATTAAGTCAGTAAAACAACCTTCTCAGAAATTGTGCAATGAAGGCATTAAGATGAAGGAGGAATTGTTGGTGACAGAACCAGGAATTACAGTCCAGATCTACAGTCACTCAGTCCAGGCCCCTGTGTGCTAAACTACCCCACTTCTGACAAATGAATTAAGCTTCTTAAGCTGCAATTTCAAAGTGATTTACTTAGCAATGTGAAACCATGCCACTCAACACAGATACCACTTCTGCTAGTTGCCCTGATTCAGTCACCTTCTGCCACTGCTCTTGAGAGCAGTGCTGTGACTACTAAGCCTGTTTCAGGGGCTTCTCAGAGGCGGCAGACTGAGGTAGTTTGTCAGGATGGAAAAAACACTCCTTATTCTTCCTTGTTCTTGTTCTTCTTCCTCCTCCTCCTCCTCCATTGTCCCATCAGGCATACTCATAAAAGATTTTAGCTCACTACAATGAGCTCCAGTGATGCCCACCCTGTTAGAAAACATCGTGTTAATCTGCTTGACACAAGGAAGCAAAGGAAAACAGAAGAAATGGGGATAGATTTGTAATGTTTCCTAGGTAAACCTGCAAGGAACTTGGAAGTGCTTCCATCTGAACACAAGCCAAGCCACATAGCTGCAGAAGTTGTAGAAGCCCTAGACTGAAAACACAGATCCCTTTTTCACTGGGAAAAGGCCCAGAGTCCCACTGCATCCCAGAGTGCAGGTTAGCATGACTCCACTAAAATGCCAGCAACCATTTGGCATCGAAGTTTACCACGCATACATCAGTGAAGATTTGAAAGGACTGGTTTTCTAAAGGTATGTAGACAGATGAGGCTAGAAAGAGAGTTAGCTCAGATGGATTTCGTCTTGCTCAACTCTGACCAATTTGGTTTAGTCTTGCTGCTAGAAACTAAGGAGATGATAACCTGAGATCACCACTCAGTTTCCCTCAATAATCAATGGAAAGAGACTGACGGGATGAGTCATTCTGTGGGGGTGCCTATCGCACACATCTATCTCAAGAGGCAACAATTCACCCTTTGGTTGAGCTTCTGTTTTCTGCAACGGCTGTCAAGGCAGCCGCAGGGCATGGTCTGACTGGACAGCTATTGTTTGGGCAGCTGCAGGTAGACAAGATGATCCCCACCCTAAATGATGGCATTATGATCACAGAAAATATTACTACTAAATATGAACTCATCGCCTCTCACCTCCGCATGTCTGCTTGCTGATTAAAAAAACAAAATATAGCCTTTCACTGCTATTTAACATTTGTGATCCCTGGCATAAGCTGAATCAATTCTGAATAAATCAGATCTCTACTAAGTCTGTTCTTGAAAAGATGGCATGGCTGGGACTGCTGTGTATCCTTGGAATTGAATCCACAGTTCCCCTTTTTCAAGGAAAGGCTTCCCAGTTTATGAAGTACAAAGTGTAATTTGGGTCCAGCTGTTTTGTATTAATTTGCTGAAGTCCTGCTACATACTGAGTCTCATAAATGGCTGAAGGAGCTCTATGTTGCAGGCTGGAAGAGCCTATTGGCATCTAGAAATGTCACCAAGGGCAATGGACAAAAGAAGGCTGTAAAATTTCTTACCTACAGAGATGAAACGATGAGGTCAATGACGAGAAGAAATCTATAGACCAGACTTCCCAGAGGGACCTCAGACTGTGGAGGGAACTGCCTGGGGTCTGAGAGCCACAGAGAGATGGAAACTCCCCGGCTGAGGGCTCCAAGGGGAAAAGGCTTGGGCTGAAGGGCAAAGAGATCGTATTTTACAGGGACATCTAGGCCCTAGAGGTAAAATGTTATTCTAGACCCTGCCCTACAAGTAAACTACTGGTGGAACCAAAACAGAAAAGAGCATTTGGATGTGCAAGGGAGGGACATGCTCTGGTCTGACACTCAGTCACACTCTCCATTTATCTTTGTGTCTTTCTTACCTCAAAGAAGCTCCAATCTTTCTGCAACGATGTTTTTCTCCTAAGGCAGTGAACAAGAGCACAAAATTAATAGCAGCAGTCATCCTTTCAGTTCTTTGAACAGAGCATTGAATATGACTTATGGGGCTATGCCAAGCTGGCATTTCACCAGGGCAATAAAGTTGTTGCTGGTTGAGCCTCATTACTAGCATGTGGAGATCCACTGTCCAAGAGAAAGACAGGACTTCTGCATTGCCTCAGAAGGAGAAAATGCAAAATATTGTATGGCTCAGTTAATTAAATCTGACAGAGAACAAAGCTGGATGTGATGAGCGGGCAAGGCTCCCCTGCTATGCTATCTAGGCTGAGCTCTCTGCATGGGCCTCTCAAAAGTGGTCAGCACTGATCTAACCCAGTTCCCACTGAAGTCAATAAAAAAACCTTCCTGACATCACTGGAAGAGCAACAAGCAGAGTTACCGAGGGCACAAAGCCAGGCCAATGCTGAGACAATAAACTTGAACACCAGGAAGGAGATGCCTGATGTATCTCCAAAAAGAAATGTAAAACATGCTCAAGAATGACAAAGGGCCTTTGTTAAAGAAGCAGCAATTTGCCCAGTGGAAGCCTGAGAGATGCTCTTGCCACTCATTTGAGCCTGGGGATCCTCACACAAAGCCAAATGACTGTCCATCATGGAAATGGCCATTAAAGCAGAGGGTGATGCAGACATTCCAGCAGCCACTCATTTCTCCTGGAGATGGCACAACTCACTCTCACGGAAATGAAAACAAATTTTCCCTGCTAGCCTACAGATCCCTACAGATCTGGCTTGGTCCTGCCAGATGTGCAGGAAAGCTTGTCTCTGCATCAATTCACCAACTCCCGACATCTCCCTTATCTTCCGGATAACATCAAGTGTTCCGCACATCTAGGGTATCCCCAGCTGCCATCACCCCAGAAACATCAATGCAGAGCAGACCATGAAGATAATGCCTTTCAGCCCTATAGCTCTGTTTACCATCTTCTGACTTTTATTTATTGATCAAGAAGACCATGTATCTCCCTACCTGGCTGCCACCAGCCATAATCCTGCTGATACTTCACGTATTATGCAAGGGAAAAGAAGCTTGACTCTGCAAGCATGGCATGGCCATTTGCCAAAGCAGAACTCCCAGAACAACTCTGATACTTTTGATTCCTCATGAATTCTGGTAAAGCACAGTATTCTGTCTTCGCAGTACCAGAGCAGAGCAACCTAAAGTGACTCCTGCTTCTTAAACCTAAATGTGAAACCCAGCTTCACCTTTTAATGCTATACAGGTCATGCAGTGTCTTAGAACTAGTCCCTAGTTTAGCAGAGAAACCTACACAGAGGCCAGCAACAGAAAATAAGACTCATAATTGGAGTCAAATAAGGCCAGGGGCCTCTACCCTTCTGTCTCTCAGTGCTTTCTTCCCTGACGTGAGGTATTAAGGTAACAGACCTGCTTGAAGTAAAGTTTCCTAAAATAAGTGTTGAACTAGGAGGCACCTCCCACGTCTAGGGCACAGTTGCTAATTACCTAGGAAAATACAGAAAGGGTCAGGAAAACATCAAGCTTGCAACAAGCTTCAGGACAGGACTTGTAAGAAACGTGAAAGAGTGAGCAAAGAGCATCATGCCTTCTAGTAACATAGTAATACTGATTTCTCAGAGTTGTGAGGGGGACGGGATGAGTTCATGCATAAAGGAGGAGGACAGCACAGCCAAGGGCAGACACTGCAGTAACCGTGGGGTCTGGATGCCAGATGATAGTGGCTTCAGACATCTACAAGAACTACCATTGTGCAGAGGGACACATAGGGAAAAAAGCTCCCTCCACTGCAGCTGTGACTCTAATTGCCCATGGATCAAGCCAGCTTCGAGGATCAGTAAGGGCTAGTTCAACTGCGTTTGCGCCATTGATGTATGCAGCTTTGGGAATACTCTGTATTTTTCCAATTATGACAAACGCCCATAAGGAAACTGGCACCACAAAGAGGTTGCACAATCCTCATCAACTTAAAAGGAGAAAGCCAGACACACCTATTCCTTCCTCAGCGTTGGAGGCACAAAAGGACTAATGCTAACATACGCAAATAACAGGTCTGGAGGAACTCTCTCAAACTCCAGTCTGGGATAGTATCAAGATAGGATTTTAATGCTGCATTTTAAAAATTATATAAACTGTTAAGATGTAGATGTTTTCCACCTAAGCCTCCCTTTTTAAAATTTCAGAGAAAACCTTTACCTGAAAAATCAATAATTTCATATGAACACATAGACATTTGGCAGATCTGGAAGGGAAAATGTTAAATCATTAACTAGATGAACTAGAGTGAACTAGAGTGAACTAAAGTGAAAAGCAAAAGCTTCAACACCATCATGAACCCACAGTTGGGTTATAAGAAAATATAGTAAAACTGCGGGTGGTACATTATCAATAGTTTCTCAGCTTTTTAATCTAAACTGTTTTCAGCTAAAAAAAAAAACCTCACCAAAAGTAACCTTCCTCACAGTTTCGATTTTGATGAAGGACCCTTCGCATCCGAAAACATGTGTGCTCAAAACATTCCTAACCATCTTTTATAATTAAGAGTGTTTATCAGTTCTGTCCTGTAGCTCTTGTATTTGGCAGTTCATATAATGGTCTGGGAGGATCCAGATATAACATTTAAGGCTAAACTGAGTCAGCCTGGAAAAGATTATATTTATATAATTGCAGTATGGTATGGGAAGTGCCCTATATTATAACACGCTCAGCATTAGCCTAACTCTGAAGTCGGCTGTACTCAGCTACTGCCATCCTGCTATGAGTAACTCAGTGAGGTCTCTTCTCATACAGCACCTGACATCACGAAGGCTTTAAGACACAACTCTTTTCTAGCCTTTGTGTTTTCACAGCCTGGACACCAACATCCCAACCCACTGCCAGCCTCTAACCCTCACTGTGATAGAAATATTAAAGAACACAGTTTCTTGTTTCAGCTCTCTGCTCTCACTCCCATGCTGGTGGTTTGTTACCACTAGAGCTCTTGCTTGCCTCCTGCATGTGAATGGGAATGTCCTGCACATTCCCATCCACCAGACAATACGAGTGAGTGAAGAGGCAGCAGAGCTAACTAGCTCGGTATACAAAAGGCTGTTTTATCCAGCTGCATCCAGTTCTTGGATACAAGTTACTTTCTGCAGTAAGTTCCTCCAACGGAGTCTCCTAAGGGCAGACATTACAGCCTCCCAACAGAAATAATGAAATACTGCCATGACCCTCGCTGTCGAACCAGCAAGAAGGTTAAGAGGATGCCTCTGCTCAGCAGG